CTGCAAGCTCATCAATAACAAAAAAATGCAAATGTTGTCTCGAATTCACGTTAATTTTCTGTTTTTATTCTTATTATAATACTTAACACTTGCTGAGTCGACCGCTGCGTGTTTGTGTTTAAATTTGTAATTAAAAAATAATGTCAAAAGTACAACACTTTAACACAGTGAGCGCCGCGAATTTTTATAACTTTTCTCATTGAACTTTTGCTTTTTATATATTTTATTGTGTTTTAAACTTCTAATTGGTCTTAAACCTATTTAATTTGTTGTTCACCCGCAATTATGGCTAGTTAAGTTTAGATACTCAAATTGCCGCAAAACTAAAAAGTAAAACTGAAATGTTTAAATATACATATACATATGCATGTGTATGTGACATATGTAAGTGTATACTAAAGCGTCTATGGCCGAGTAACAGTTAACATTCAGTTTAATGCTTTTGTAAGAACAAACAAAGTGAAGAAGTTATGAATAGTAAATTGGCCAGGAAATCCAGTTTGTCAGAGACACAGGTTTGGCATTTTCCGAAAAGTAAATGCGCAAAACTGTGCCTTCGGGTTAAAACTAGATTGTTAAGAAACTAAAAACAAAATTTAAAAAAAAATTGCACACACATACGAATATGTTTATGTCCATGCAGTTGTGTACAGAAAAGTAGCATAACGTTTTACAAGTTTTTGTTATTTATCATTGTAGTTTATTTAAGTATTTAAATGGTGATCCACTTCGAGGTTCCTTATTTAAGAATTATAATTTACTGGGGAATGTTTATTATCAATCGAAAGAACATATTTTGGCATTTATATTTTAAAGATTTTCTCTTTCTTTTCTTTTCGCCGTCTTTTTGAAACCAAATGTCCCCGAGATCACTAGCTTCAGTTTCAGCCATCAAATAGTCGATTATCGTGGCACGATAGTTGTCCGTTATGTTCTCACGGGCATGATTTTTAAATATGGACCGATGATTCTACCGTCCCACAAACCAAACCCAACCGTTTTTTTCTGGATGAATATAAAATCTCTTCAAGTTTCTCTTCGTCCCGAATGCGGCAATTTTGCTTGTTTTTTATACCATTGGGTACGCGATGTTGTATTTTTTATTAAGCCAAGCAACCATAAAACGAAACAGTGAAACTATTAAAAAGGCAGTAAATGTAAAACCCCGCCTAGCTAGGTAAGAATGTGTTCTGCTAACAGACCCCCTTAAAATGTTTTTCTCTTCTTTTTTTGTAATGGCTTTTTCGATAGGAATGCTATAAAATAGACCGATAGGGACAGCGAACGATTCCATAATTTTTCCTGCTCTTTTGACATTTCTCTTCAGGAAGGTTTGCCATTTCATCATGGAAAGATATGCGATCCAACAATGAGACAAAAAAGTGTCGAGAATATTGCTGCCGCTGGCGTGTCAATTGAGGAAGACTCAAATCAGTCTCTTACACGTCGTTCTCAAGCGTTGGGCATCTCTGTGACGTCGTTGTGGCGAATTTTGAGAAAATATCTTGGCCTACAATATCTGATTGACGCAAGTACCATTCCATGATTTTTTTATGTTACAGCTAGATATACGCGGTGAACTTCGGCTAACACGTACAATAATCACAAATTTGCCAAATGTTCTCTTAATTGTCCATGTCTGCGAATCTGAGTTTCTACCTAATTTTCTCTGATATACCATATTGAGAGATTAACTGTTTAACATATTTGGTCCAAATTAGCTTGATTGAACTTCAGCTGACTTCCATCTCTTGTAAAACAAGTTAATTATATTAAAGTGCACAAGTGGCATATAAGAAAATAATGTGAAGTATAAAACTAAAATAGGATAGATAGATAGATAGATATATTTTTATTTCATGTACAATAAATATACAGGAAACAAGAAAAAAAAACAGCACTAGCTCGAGGCCATCAGCTGGTTTTACAAAAGAATACTAATTTACATTTCGTTTATGGATTACAAATATTATACAGTTAAGGTTAACTAAATTAAATGAGATAGGTTGCATGAGGCTATAAAACTAGATATCTTGCTTATGTTAAGTGCTTTTGTGTCGGAGAGAAGTTGTGATGGAACAGTCAAGCCAAAAATCCGTTGCCTTTGAATAGAAAATCGAGGGCAGATGTCCAAGATATGCTTCACAGATGTGCTCATTGACCCGCAAACATTGCATAATGATACTCCATGACTAAGAAGATGTCCGTGAGTGATCTGCGTGTGGYCCAAACGAAGTCTTGTGAAAACGAGAATGTCTGACTGTTTAGCATCGGAAGGAAAAGTAGGCCTAATTTTTGTTGGATTAATATCTGCATAATGGTGAACTAAAATAGGAATTGTATCTTCTTTTTTCTGCATTTTGAAAAAAAAAAAATTATCTGAAAATTATCATTTTTAACAGAAATTTCAAACATTCCTAATTATAATTTGCACATAAGTGTACTCACCTCATGCAGATACATATATGTATATTATATGTAGATATCTACAAGGAAATAAGAAACGGACAACAAGTTCGCCGTGATTTTTCGTATATTGTTGTTCTTAAGCAAATCATTAAATTATTATTTATGCATTTGCTGAGAAACCCAACTGGCTTGGTTACATCCGAGTTTTGGCTCATTAGCATGACAATTGTTTCTCCATGACATTCTCATCAGCGAATTAACTGCTCACTTAAAATTATGTATATTTTAAAATTGTTTGGTATTTTTAAAGGCAAGTCTTGCCAATCTTGTTATAAAGATTGTTTTTCACGATTTGTACACTATTTTTGAGCGCTTTTAATTCAATAATATTCAATTTATTATCATACTGTTATTTTTTATTCATCCTTTATGCCGAATGCTTTTGCTGCTATCGTAGAAAGCAGCTTAATTAATAATATAGCCACTGAACCGTAGACCTGTCACAGATGACTCTCTACTGGCTAAATCTATAATTTCAATCCTTCCTTAAATACTCAGCGCTGTCAATACATAGATGAAATATGCATTTTAGTTCAATCTGCTGCTCGACGAAATGTTATTGCCTGCTGAAAGTGGGACGAATTTGAAAACTCTCGAAAACACAACATTCGCCAAGCAAGGTTTCAGCTGCAAATTTTTGTGGCTCTTGTGGAATTATTCGCATTGATCATCTCGAATATAAATCAATCAGCAAACCATATTTACTAGCATCCGTGACTAAAATTAGGCCAAATGGGTAGGACAAATAATTCTAGCCTATGTAGTAGTTGTCTAAATCTATTACATCGAAACATATTACTAAAAATCTGGGTATAAAAATATAAAATAAAATTCTCTATAGATTTCCAACAGATGCTAAAACCTTCCTAACAAAATCAATATTATGGTCCAAATTTTTTTGACATCTCCCACAATCTCGGAATTGACGATACCGGACCACTTTAATATATTGTTGCTATAAAAACTGGACGATCAAAACCAAAAACATTCTTGAAAATACGCAATTTCTGCGGACATTGGACTATTTGGGCATTGGATATCTTCGGATATTTTGTCAACTCAAAAAGTTTTCGATGCAAGCCCTTGATTGCGTGAGTTCAATTTGTATGACAGATGTTTGCTGTACTGGTCCGTTATTAGCGAAGTACAAAATATCAGATCAATATTTCGAGAACTGCAGGAGAAGTCAGGAAGTCTGGAGTCGATAGAGCTGGAGTTCATAAAGAGCTCTTGACAGTAAACCCTTCCCCTTAAGCTTCGACAGAGAAGGAACTTTTGTTCGGTTTGATAACTCCATGATCCATGTGATCTGATAAGAAGTCAAAGTGTGTGAGGATATCCGAGTGTTTAGATATGTATTGTTTTAATACCCCAGATTCTCTGAGTCTGATAGCAACTTTCGCAGGCAGACACCTTCCGACAATGTCTACGGTCACTATGTGTAAGTTTGAGTTAAATGCCAAGGGTGGAGTGGACTTTAGTGCACCACACGTACTGATGAGCGCTGCCCATTGAATGCTCTCGAGTTTCGTTGCATTCAAATGTAGTCGTTTCTAGAGCCCTCCACCACATAACGACTCCGTAGAACATAATGGGCTTGACTACGACGTCGTAGAGCCAGAGAAGCATTTTCGGTGAGAGCCCCACCTTTTGCCGATGGCTGCTCCACAAAAGTATAAGACAATCGATAAATTTTTTCCATAAAAGCTTCCTATCTATGATAAGCACTAGATATTTCACTGTATCCGCCGGTTGCAGATGGATATCTCGCATTTGCAGCAGCGGTGCCACCGGGATCTACCATCTTCTAGTAATTAAAATAATCTCGGTTCTACTTGGGTTGATGGCGACTTCCGACCGCCCAATTTGTTACAGCGCTGAGATACCCCTACGTTCACTCGCACAGGGCCATAAGTGCTACATCATCTGCATCGACAATCACCTGGCAGCCATTAAGATTAGTCACATTTCTTCCAGAGCTTGCGTTGTCCCATTCTGTTTCATTCACCGTGTCGCACAACAAACGGAGAATGATGTTTGAGGTTTGATTGAAAGACACGAAAGCATGCAAGGCAGTATCTATTGACTCTTTAGAATGTTGCGCTCCTGATAGATCGTCTCAAAATGCCCCTCTTATACGAGTATACTAGTCCATCAATCTCTCCAGAGTTTTTAGTTAGAAGGAAAAAATACTGATGGGGCTAAAGCCTTTGGGCGTAATGTGGGAGTCCCCACCAACCTTCGGGATGAACGTAACTTTGACTCGTCTCCATATGTACATACATATGTATTTAAGCGGGTAGTTTAGTGCAATTTAAGAAAATAGCGTTACCACCAAATTTTAACCTCAAAATAAATTGAAAATATGAATATGCCCATAAATAATATGTTATACAAATGTACATACAATGTATGTAAAATTTTAGAGTTTAAAATTTATTTAGAAAATGAAAAAAATTTCAAATTATATGATATAAATTTCAAAAGAATCGTTTCTATCAATATATTCTGTATTTTTACTTTATTTACAGTTACAAAATCGTAAAACAGAGTGCAATTTTCACACAAAAACTTCTTTAAATATACGAGCGAATGCTTGCCAGTAAAAGGGCAATAAGAAATAAACAATATAAAAAAAATAAAAGTAATGTGCAATTTTGCTGTTGCGATTGTAATTTTAATGCAAAATAAAATTGCGATAAAAAAGTTCAAGTGAAAAAAATTAAGTTTCATTAAAGTAACGACTAAGCAAAGGGCTTACTTGCAGCGACAGCATGACAATAAGTGCAATGAAGACAACAAAAGAAAATTATAAAGACATCAAATCAGGAAGTGCATATAGAAACGTGTAAACGCCGACAAGTGCAAAGAGACCATTGAGTGTACATCTCATCGTGCAACTAACTACTGTTAGGGAGTTACAGCGATTATATTACACGCTACAAATTGCATAACTGCAAATCACGCTGCAGTGAGATCGAAAAAAAAGAAAACGAAAACAAAGAAACTGCAGACAAAAGCCATAGAAACAAAAGCGAAGCTTTGGAAGATCACATTTGCTTTGGAAAAGAACAAAGTGAACGCTGCAAATCAGACACAAAGTATCGGAGTATTGCAAACGGACCAACAGCAAGCACGGAAGAGCAAAGAAGCGGAGGAAGAAGCGTTTTTATGTATAAATGCGACAAGCGATCGGAGCTTGAGCGGAGATCAACAATAACGCGGTGAAGCGCGAAGTGAAAAAAATAGTGCAAGACCGAGAAAAACGAGGCACAAGCTGACGTGCAAAAGAAGTAATCAGCTGCCCGGTAATCACAAGTAGTTTTTAGTAATCACATTTTAAGCTATTAGAGCTATCCAACGTAACGGCGCAACAACAATAATGGCAACGAAAACTGTTATAAACACGAATACGCCAACAACGCGTGGCATCTCTATACTAATTGACCAGAATACAGCAACAGCACCAACAACTATACAAAAGCAACAACCACACGCAGTCAACAATTGTCAGAAAGAAACATTGAGACCAACAACACAAATGACCGAAACGGCCAAGATCACCATCTTTCAAAATGCAACAACAACGAAAACACAAATGGCACCAACACCATCAACGGCGGTAACTAGAACAGTGCTCACTAAGCTGCAGCCGCAGCCAAGTAAATTACTGGCAACAACAACAACAGCGCGTATTGGTGTTAACGGTATAGATAATAATTGCACCAATAATAATGATAACCACAATAATGATGATGTTTTTGTCAAAGCCAATAATGAGCAAACGTTGAACGGTGATGATCGTGAGCGACGTCACTCGTATCGCATACAGAGTGGTGAGTACGAGAGTGACCAGAAAACTAGTTACGCCACAATCAAGCAGAAAATAACAACATCCACGGCGGTGCCAACTTTTCCACACTTGCTGTTGAAAGTGGTGAGTGAAAGAGGAAAAGCCAATAATGGTCAAACCGAGCGCAGCGATGGCGGCGTTGTGAGCAACGAAGACGTGCACGAAGCGAATGGAAACGACGACGGCCGTTTAGCTAACGGTGTTGGAAGTGATGTTGGAAAATCGCAAGTAAATAGAAATGTGGCGGCCGCAGGTGTTGTTATGACGCACACAAATGGTCAAAATGAGCAGCTGAGCAACAACAACAACACTGCAATTACGAAACCGACAGCACAAGCGAATGTTAATGAACAGCGCGGCTCGATGATCATTAAGTGCAATGGCGATGAACAAAAAGAGAACAAAAAATCACATGATAATCATGATGATGATGATGGTGATGCACATGATCGGCATGCCGATAATAATGAGCGCGGCGCTAACGACGTTCATGCCGATCAACAGCATGCTGATCAAGTTGGTTCACTTGTTGCGCCGACAGCGACGTCTAATATATATCGCGACGAAAGTTGTGTGACTAGTGCTATTGGAAATGGTCAAAACGCGTTTGAACATTATATCTGTACGAATGCGATGAACGTTAGCGAACGCGATCGCCATGCGGCTGGTCATAGTCTCTGCAATACAGATGACCAAGAGCAGCTGGAAAGTGCAGACGTGAACGCGAATTCGAATGCGATCGGCGTGAATAGTCTACTAACGGCAACGAGAGCAGATTGTGGAAGTGCACTGACCGAAACAGACGCAGCCACACGCAGACGCAGTGTTGAACCAATAACAACAAATCTTAAAGAATCGAATTTGAATAAACAAATATTAGAACCGAAATTACATGTGTTGAAGATACAAATAAAACCGAACGAAGTGCATGAAAAGAATGACAAACAAGTGTCGGTAGTGACCCTTAACGAGGCACAAGTGCAAGATACGCCTGAGCAACAGTACGCCCCAACAAAAGAGCATTTTAAAGAATTAGCACAACAAAGTACTCAAGTGCAAATAATTGACTCAACGCAGGTAACACCGACGGCTGAAAGTGCGAACGAATTATACGTGAACGAACACAAAAAGAGCGACCACGTACAGAAAATGGTGCAAAAGCCTACAGCTACAACGCCTACGGCGGCCACATTGACTACGGCGACGACGACATCAATGATTCTCAATACGGGCGCGGTAACCGTGTCGTCCGGCGGTAATGCCGCAACAAACTTGTTAGGCGCGATCACAATCGCAAACGGTAACGGCAATAGCAACGGTAACGGTAATGCCAATACTAATGGTAACGGTCACGCGAACAACACGAACGCTACGTCGAATACAAGCATTACCGATTTAAATGTCACACATCCTTCGTATATGTACTATGTTATATCCAGTGGTCAATTCTCACCTTGCGACACACTAGACAGCGGTACAGGTAGCGATCTGGAGAGTAATGGTAATGTAACACCCGGCGCACCAACCATACAGAACAAGTTTCTCGGCACACTCGAGAAACTCAATGCTGTCACACAGAATGGTGTTAGCGGTAGCGCACCCAAAATGGAATTGCACATGAAAGCGACCAAAATACGTCTAAATGGCAGCACCAAGAAGTCAGCGTTGGACTTGACAAATGGCACTGCGAAGTCACATACGAATGGCGACCACGCACGCGCTGGCAGTTTCACCGATAGCGAGGAGAGCGAATCGTCCTCGCTGAGTTGTGATTCACTGCACTCCACCGAATTCATACGACAGTCGTCGGTTTCGCCAACAGCGCACAAATCGACGGGTAACGCCGCTTCCTTGGCTTGCGTCAAAATGTTGGGCTCTTTTCTGCCGGACTCTTTGTTGCGCGATATACGCGATCGCAAGTTTCCCACCAATGATTTTGAGGCGAAATATGGTGATGGTGGCAGTGCTGCTAGCGCTGATGGTGGCAGTGATGCGGATGGTGAGGGTGATGTGCCCACAATTGTTACGCCAATTGACGAAAACGAGCAGGTTTATATTAATGTGGACCATAAGCAATTCTTAAAGGAACATAACTGTAATAATATGATCCTCAATAATAGTCACAGCAATAAACGCGCGTCGCTGCCGAATAAAACGTTCGTTTTAAACGCGGATAATGGTACGTTCGTTGATACGAAAATGAACTCGATGCCGCGCAAATACGAAGCAGATAAATATTACAATTTCCATGTGCGGGAACATGAAAATTTCCGCAGTTTCGACATCACTGGCGGTCTTGGTGGTATTAATGGTGGTAGCGTTGGTTCTGCCAGTTTAGGCGGTGGTGATCTTGAAAGTCTCTCCGAATACGAAACGAAGAGCTTGCACGACGATGCTTTCGCCGGTTACAAGGACATACGTTGCGGTTCGGCCACTTCGACTATACGTTCGTCAAAGGGCACAGTGCGCGGCGTCAAGAATCGTGTGCGCAATGGAATAGCCACATTCTTGCAGTTGCAGCAGCCGAATGTGAAGGTGAGTGAGACAAATCTGATTTATTTTGTGTGTTAGATTTGAGCTATGAGAGCATTGATTAAAAAAAACAAAATATATTTAGAACAAAATATATTTTAATTTAAAGTTATGTATAAAAAATTAAGCCTTCATTTTTTGCTTGAGAAAGCGAAATTTGCAAAGAATTTGAGTGGTCTGTCATCGCTATTTCTTGTTTCTTATTAATATTCTAGAAAAATTATAAATGTTTTCTGTGATAACTACTGTTTAGTGATCCAATTCTTTCTACTAAAACTACTACTTTTAGGTGGAGTAAATGAATTAAAAAAAATAGATTTTCTTATATATTTGTAATATTGAAAAACAAAATGTTTATCATGCAATGAAATTTAAAAAGGAATATTTTTTATTACTATTATTTTTTTTCTTCCAAAAACAATTCTTTTATTAAATACAAGATATATGATAAATTAAATTTTGAGGTTTACACTGCGACTCGTTGTCCATTGTGCACTCTCCTGTTATTACAAAATCCTTTTACTAAGCCAAAGCGGCTTAGTAAAGCTTCTGGGTTGCAATGTGTTCTCTTACCTGATTTAATTATCCGATAGCCTGACTCCTTCTCTTTGCAACTGTTGGTTCTGCAATTTTGGTCTATTTTAGTAGTAGAATATTTTCTTAACCCGAATAGACGGGGAATAGAGAATATCGACTATACCTAAAATTTGTATCCTGCTCCTAGATCGGTCAGGAAGTGCTGTTACCATATGCGTGCACCAGGCGTCACACCTGTTTTTAGCAATACAAACTACAATATTATCCAAGACTTTTAATTGATTTCTACTATATTTATATATTCATGTGAAAAACTTTATAATTCTTCGTTATTGTTTCTTGTGGAAGTCTCCAAAACACTTAACACAGAAGCCAACATCGCATTTGCAGCAAGCAGTACGACCACTTGTTTTACATAAATTACCAGCGCGACGACGCAATTCAACGCAAGGTACCACTAAGTGTCTTGACCATCGAAACGAAGAGTACTGTCTACGGATACTTTGTCTTAGCGTCTCTTAGGCATTGGGGCGCTTCCTGTACGTTTTGGTTTTTCTCTACAACGCTTACACTAATGTAGGGCTGTTTGGTGTCTAGACTTCAGTTGCTTTATAAGTATTTTCCATTTCATTGCGATGTAGTTGCCAAGCATTTTTAATACAAACATTCAAAAGCCAAATGAAAATGCTACTCCACCGTTTCTTTCCCCTGTAAAGTTGTATTCTGTTACAACAAATTGTCATTGAATGAAATTTATTTTTCTTTCCTCCTTTGTATACCGAGAGCTTTCGGTAATGGATTAGCACCAAAAGTATTAGATGCAATGTTCACCACGGAATTGTCTAACCATTTTGCCATATAATTGACAGAAATCGAAGAACAAAAATCCCTCTTCTCTTTCCTTTTAATAGTTTATTTTTTCATTAGTATACAAGTTTTCGGAACACGATTTTCCCGTATCGTTCCTGTAGCTGCATAACTACCAGTTTCTAAATATCTTAGTGGTTGATACACGCTATCCAACTAATGAGAATGGTAAATTTTGAATTTCTTCGGAAAAATTATCAATCATATTTATGAGAGGAGGTGCACATTTTTCGAAATATTCTTCATATTGTTTATGTGATCGTGGGTTCAGGGCTTTCGAAATTGATCAAATATCCATCAAATGTGCACAAGGACCGAACCCTATACCCAAATCGTATGGGGTTACATTTTATGAATTACTTACAACCGTGTTTTTCAAAATATGATATTATGCTTTCATCATGTGATAGATTTAAAGTTGGAGGCGATTTATTATTGGTTCAAGTTACCACATTTTGTATCCATTTCTGTTTTTTGCGGCAGTGTCTGAAAAGTGAAAACTACTGCATATTTCTGTAAAGCGGTCACGTCGCATTCAATTTTACACTAATTTATTCCTCGGGAAACGGCATACCCATTGGATTTATCAACAATATGCTGGACTAATACCTCATTGAACGGCATCATTGCCTGGGGATTCAATAAATATTTTTACTACGTCTTCATCACTATCATTTTCCAGACTTTCAGTAAAGTCTAACGCTTACGTCAGTTTTACAATTTCAAAAAAGTAAAGAAGAAATATAAGTATTACACAATATTTATAATATATATCTAATAGCACTATTTATCATTACAAATAACACAAGCAGGTTTGAAAAAAATGTTAAAAGAAAAAAAAACATATTTTGCAACTTACGTCTTTTTCACAAATTATTTTTATCAACTCCGAAACAGACGCTTTTCGTTACAACGCAGTTTACAAATGGTTTTCGGCTATACCAATATGATACCAGAAGCCCGTTTTATTCAAAATAGGCAAAGCAACGAAAATTCGAAACTCATGGGTTGCTATGTTCCCTCAAAGGTTACTACGTTTTGGATGAACCCGGACTATTCGGGTTAATTAAGAATTTAAGATTTAATATAATATTTAACGATAAGTCACATACTGCATTGGTTCTGCGTGAGTTTTTAGACATTTTTTAAACCAGTATCGTGCCGCAACCATCGCTTTCGCTTGATTTAGCTCCGAGTGACTTCTGGCTATTCGGCAAACTCACATATCGCTACGCGCATTGAAGGCTATGCCGGAAATTGACTTTAACAACTGATTCGAAGATTGAAACAAATTTTGGCACAAGTGGGGCTACTTTGAGAGGAATAATATAGATTTTGAAGAATAAATTAAGAATTTAAAATTATGAACAAAGTCTTACCATTTTTCATGCATTTCCTCGCACTCTTTCAAGCTTCACCCACACATATACATATGTGTATGCGAGCTTACAAACACACACTCCCAATCGATAGTTTCATGTATTCTACGAAAGCCGCAGATTCTCACATATTTTCTTCAGCATGACATTTGTCTGATTGCAGCAGCTGTCAAACACCATGCGAGTACTTTCTCACGTGCATAGTGCACCCAATATATTMACTCACAGTGCAGAGAGTCAGCTAAAAAAGATACAAATAATTTACATAAAATATTGCAACAACTCAATTTGAAAAGGCAACACATGCAAACAATAGCTAACTGACAGAGCCAACAGCTGACTGTCAAGAAAAATGAAAACATGAACAACAATTTGCTAAATAAAACTGCCTCCAAAACAAAGGATTGACAACCTTGTGGAAAATAATGCAGACAATTGTCATAGACCAAAACTCGCCGTCAGTTAAATTTATGTACATAAATTTACAAGTCTGCACATGCACATACATATATTATATATATTGTGTGTATGGGAATATGTTCGTTGGTTTTTGATGCATTGTTTGGCGTTTTGAAGTGTTTTTGAAAAAAAAAAAATTGGAAAAATTAGAGCAGATCGACGGAAGTGATGGGCGTAAAAATTAAATACATTTTTAAATGACTGTATGAATAATAAAACAAAGCTTGCGGTTTAGGCTCGAAAGCGTGGTAAATGTTGTAGGAATTGTAAATGAGAAGTGTCAAAAGCTTGTCAAAGAAAAAATATCGTCACACTTGACTACTCGAATGTTAAAAAGAAGTCAAATTGATTAGGGATTTGTAGTATTTGAATTTATAATGATTCAATCGCAGGTATACGAGGGTTTCCTCTCGTATTTCCGAGGGTTTGTAAAAATTTTGCTTTATTGATTAGTGTTTAGATAATTGTTCATAAAAGGTTATAATTTGTGTATGGGAAATATTGGACTTTTTGCTGAAAAATAATGTTTTTATGCTTTTAACTTTTAAAATTGAACCAATGCAAAAATTTAGCGATTGCAGAAAGCATTCACAATTAAATTATTATGGAGACATACATATACAAATTTAAACCCTTTAAAAAATTGTGTCTAAGGAAATTCAAAAACGAGTTTATAAAAACACTGAAATACATGTAAGAGGACAAGGGATTAGGAAGCGCCTAAAGTTAGAGAAGACTCACCTAGATCAATTTAGATCAATATATGACTGTATATTTTTCTTTACCAGAATAGCTGTTCTGAACTTATTTGTTGCATTCGAGAAGTACGTATAGTATGTCGGCGACTTTATTCCAGATACCATATTTCCCGAGGCTACCCATCGTAGCTGGTCCCCTCTAAATTATGCAGGAGTTTGGCAGAGGCCATTTTGCTTTTATGCAATTTTATTTGAAGCACCTTCTCTGTTTTGTTCGGAATTTTTCACGGAAACGGCTTAAGGCTCCGGCTTTCCCTTACCAGCTTCGTGGAAATTTAATCTGACTTCTAGGATATCTCCGAGATCGCTTTCCACCTATCCTTCCTCCTAGTTATGGCTGCCATCCTTCTGTCGGCACATCAGCATTTGTCTCCTATCAAGGCGTAGTGCATCCTAGTGTTTTAGCTTGCGAATTAGTAGAACCTCCGACTTCGGAATGGAAGAAATTCAACTTGGCGGTAGCACTGTAACTACTGTGAACTGCTCTTTTCACAACATAGATATGGCTATTGTCAGTCACTTCTCCCACCAACGTTTGGGCTTTACTTTCTTCCTTTTCGTCCTACATGTTGAGTTTTGTTTTTCGGGGAACCTCTACCACTACCCCTAGCGCCAGGTGCCTCATTAGCAATGACTGACGTTGATAAACACCCCCTCCCCCAGTGTTATATGCAACGCATGTTACCAGGAAGAGGAGAGTGTATATGTATCTCTGCCTTAACTAACGCCGTTTGCTCGCCTGAGCTCAAGACCTGCTTTTGAAATTAGTTCAGTTTCCAAGCTATGATGATAGATAGACAGGAGGATTAAGCTACGAGAACTTTCGCCTACCACTATAACATATAGCTGCCACACAAACTGACCTATCAAAAGATCTTTTCGTATCATTTATTTCAGATTTCTACATCCACTTATTCTAAGTTCTTTCAGGTAACTAGGTTGACTAATGCCGAATGAGGCACAAATATATTGTTTTTATCTAACAAAAACATTCCTAGAGTGG